TCTCTCTCTCTCTCTCTCTCTCTCTCTCTCTCTCTCGAATAAGTAGGCTAAGTACGAATTCACACGAGGAATTCAGCTCGTGTGCTCGGGGAACACTTGTAAGGACTGTGGCTGACAGTTTACGCCGGAGCGTGGACGTGGTTATTACGGCGGAGAGTGGTCCGACGTGTTCGCGTGATTTTCCGAAATTACGCGAGGCCCGCCGTGTGTGTTGGACGAGGCATCGTGGCCCAGTGGCCAGTCGTCGTCGTCGTCGTTTACACGGCGAGCACACGATTTTATCGCGATATCGGGATTTCAGCGCGACTAGAGACAACGCGTCCTTGAAGCTCGTTCTAACGTGTTGCAGGTACGCTGCGCCCGCCGGGCTTGATCGGTGGCAGCAAGCCAAAAGTCGCGACGCCGGCCGTCGTCGCCAAGATCGAGCAGTACAAGAGGGAGAATCCCACCATCTTCGCGTGGGAGATCCGCGAGAGGCTCATCTCCGAAGGTAAGCACGTGTTTTTTCCTTCTCATTTCGATTTCTCAATTCTTCTTTCAATTTCTCGATCCTTTTCTTTTTTCTTTTTTTTGGCGCCGATGGAAAAATCCTGAACAAAGTGCTGTACAAGATAAAAGGACATTGTTGAAGTGATCAAAATTGATAATTTTGGTTAGATATTAAATTTAAATTTTTCACAAAATGCGTAAATAAAAGCTTGTGTACTCTCTAAAGTTTCTCTATTTCTTTTTTTTTTTACTTCAATGTCTCCGACGGAAATTTTATGCTTCGAGCGTCGGTAATTCTAGCGTTGAGAAATAAAGAGTCGCTATGTGTATTTCAAAAGATAATTAAATAAATAATTATTGTACGATTCATAGTGTCCGATCAATTCATTAGGTATTGAAAGAGATTGAACCTCAAATTTCGATTCCATTACAGTTTGACAGTCGGGGTTCGCGCTCAATTTATATCAAATTAATAAGCAGAGATAAGATACGTGCTAAGGAGACGTTGGAGAATTACATAAATCTTCGAGTAAGGACGTCGGCACGTAATGCGATTATTAATTTGCAAGTAGAAGGGACTGCAACGATTCCAAACGGACTATTTTAAGGATTCGTTTCGGTGCCAGAATATATGATTACGGTGGCCAATCATTTGGATCCTGAGAAGCGAAACGTTTCGTCATGCAACGAAATCGACAAATTTCGTCAACGTGTTTTCGGACGGTTTGTGATTTAAAACGTGGCAGATCTCGTTTCTGTAATTGTTTTCGGTAACGTGCCGCTTCAGCAGCATGCTTTCGATCGATCATTTCGTTAATTCGTTGCGGATTTTTAAATTGAAAAAAAAAAAATCGTTTCTATATTGTTACAATTCACCCGCCTTATTTTTGTACAACGCATCTCCAAATCTTCCATAAATGCATGAAAATTCATTCGCGAAAGTCTAGATCTAAATCGGAATGTTACAGCGAACTAACTTGATGTTTCGTCAAAGCTAGATCACGCTGTTAAAATTTCTGAGAGAACTTCTCAGAGAACAGAGTCGATCGATTTAGCTTTAGATCGATTGACTAATGCACGATAAAGGCGAACGACGAAATTCCGTCCACGTGCAACACCACACAGTTAGCTAACTTCTTATTCAACAATGCGCGAGCCGCGTCGTTTCGTGCATCGTTGCAAATCGCCCGTAATAATAGTTGTACGTGCCTACGAGCAAACGTGCAATTGCGGCTAGAATCAAGAAACTCTTCTTCCACGGCCTTGTCCATCAGCACGCGCTTCTCATTCTTCTGAGAACGAGCGATGTACAGCTACGGAGCCTCACCTTGTACGATATTCTGTTGGCTGTGACTAGGCCGAGTCCCGGTTCCTCCTTCGGCCGTCAATTAACTGAATTTGCGTCTCTCTCTCGCTCTCTCTCTCTCTCTCTCTCTCTCTCTCTCTCTCTCTCTCGTTTTTAACGTTGCGTTAAGTCTCGAAGACTTTCTCCTCGACGAGGCGTGTCGTGCGTCATCCGTGCGAGAGCAATTTACATGAAAATCAAGAGCATTTCGAAACGCAGAAAGAACCGGACGCTAACTCGAGTCCATTATTGATTTCAAAGGAACATCGGGAATCTCAGGAAGGGACGACGCGCTCGAGAATGGAAGACTATCGTTCGGATTACGTGCGACGGGAGTCTATTTTTAAAACTTCCGATTAAAGCTTATCGCGCAAAGATAGATAACCAGAGCCGCGGCTCTAGTGCACTTCGATTCCAATCTAATGCCACTTTCTATTGTACTTCAACTTTGTAATGACCGTGCATTTGAATAGGTAGCCACAAATCGATTGCTTCTTCTAACGTCTCGAACACACGCTTTAGAGAGTTTACCAATATACACGGCAGCACGTTTAAACACATGAAATTTAACTCGCGAGTCTGTCTCTATATAGTGTTTTGGCATCATACTCCATGTCCATTTTTCCTGTCGTACAATACTTGACGACGATCAGTTGCTTGGGAAGGCTATCGAACTACTAACCAAAATCGTATAAAACGCAGAAAATTCAGACTTGCAAGCAGTATGCGTTATATTCAAGATCAAAACATCGTTGTATCCCCGTTCGATCCCTTTCACTCGACAAACTATTGAAGGCTTTCGAAAATGCACGATTCTCGAAAAAAGTACATCTGAAAACTAGTCCGTTGCAATTGCGTTTTTTTTATTTGATGAAATGTATCTTCGTTTCTACCCAACGATATTAATTGTAGCTGCAAGTAGGTATTCGAAAATTTACGTTCTTAGCCAAATTATTCTCTCTCTTTCTCTCTGTGATTTGCAGACTGATTAACTTGCAATTGCTCGATTAATAGTTTCTCTTCTTCTGAAGTATGTCTTAGAATTTCTATAATAATGCGAGAAACTATCTAAATTATCAAGAAAACTGTCTTAGAGTTCAAGATGCGATAAATTTAATTTTAAGGTATTGTTTGAACAAGCAATTTCTTCAACGATGTCGAAATCAATTTGGAATAAAACATTTTGTCCCAAATATTTTTATAACGATGATTTTTATTAATGAGAATTAACGTAATCTTTTACTATCGTGTAAATAAAACTTTATTATACCTGGAATACACCATCCGAACGTCCGTGAACTTCGATGATCGAATAGCGACCACTTTTTGTTTAAACATTGCCGGTCGCTAACGAAACGACCGGCCGATCAATATATCGATATTCGGATTCGAGGGAGCATCTTCAGTCGGCGTAACAGTATCATTGTTTGTGTACTGAATAATAATAATTTGTTACATAAATTATACAATACTATACAATAACACTAAGTACCAACAAGTGATATTTACTTTAATGTTATTTTGATAGCAAATTTCACTTCAGCGTCTTCTCACCGAATTGAGCTGATCTTAGCAGAGACAGAAAGTCGGGAAAAATGCTCGTCACGGCCGACGATAGGACAAATCGTTAAAAGAAAAAAATTCATCGTACAATGAAAAATTGCAAATGGCTCGAATAGAAAGTTCACACGGCCGAGGAAACGCATTAAACGTCGTCGTCGTCGTCGAGGAACGAAGTGGAAAAAACAGTTGGTTGCAGAAGCGTGCTCGTTTGTTCGCAGGCGTGTGCAGCAACGCGACAGCGCCCTCGGTCAGCAGTATCAACCGAATTCTGCGAAATCGGGCGGCAGAACGGGCAGCGGCGGAATTCGCGAGGGCGGCCGGCTACGGTCTGTACGCGGCGGGTCCACATCCGTATTTCAACAGCGCCCATCAGCACCCGACGACCAGCCACCACTTGCCGGCTGGTTGGCCAGCGCCAGGGGCAGCCGGCCACCCTTGGATGCTGCCGCCATTGGCTACCGGGATCACCGGCGCGGCTTCCGCTGCTCTGCTCCTTCCGCCGTCGTTGAGCCCGGGAGCAGCCGCGGCGGCGGCCGCTGCCGCCTCTGCGTCTGCCGCTGGAACCGCCGACCACGCTCTACACGCGGACGCCATTA